TTAATAAGCTCAAAGAAGAAATTTTGCCGCAGTTCTACGATTATATGTAGACAGCGACTTGCTATCGACAACTGGGAACATGTACACGCCACAAAGCATTAACTACCCCAGAACACTAGGTTTTGTGGCATTGATAAGGAATGTCTGTAACTTTGCTGTAAACACCCATCATTACGGTTGCTTCTTTTATCAGTAAAATGACTCTTGATGAAATCAAGTATGCTACTGGTTGACAGACTAATCGGATAAGCAAAAGTTATAGCATTTGTCATTGCGCACAAAATAAATGTTTTCAATCAGTCATTTTTATGGTTGCTTTGAATTGATGATGGCATTAACAAAAGGTGATCGGTTGACGCTTCAATTACTGAAGAATACTTTTTCCACTACTTGTTAAGCATGACCTGCTAGCAGTACCAGTGGTATGGTCAATGACAGACTCCAAGACAGAATCATTATCATTGTTTACAAAAAAGTGAAAGAGCACTTGAAATCGTGAAACCACGCTGTCCGAGGTATGGTGTGTTAACATGTTTTCCACTACACGGAATGTGGGGAGGTGCAATAACACGCCTGCCTGCCTGCCTGCCTACCTACCCGTCAGAGGAGAAGGCGCTGGGCGGGACACGATAATCGCATTCCCACTAAATCTGATACCCACGTATTGTAAAAAAATAATTGCCCAATACTTCTCCCTTTCTTTCCGATTAAATCGCTGTGATAATAGGACTAAACAATACGGTGATTAAGATACACTTGTTTGGTGAAAGCACTAACCTTCGAACCGTAAAATAAATAACATTTTCATTCATAACACGTACGATCCAAAATCCTGAAGGCAAGGTTAAGGTGGACACAGTATGATGATATTTACTTAATCCAAAAACACGAATTTGAAAAGCCAACGATAATATGAAAGACATAGCAAAGGCCGAATATTGAATGAAGGGCATTTATTTTATGTACATATACCAATGAGAGCACATAAGCAGAGGATAAAAGTAGCAGTCCTCTCCTGCCTCTCATTGCTGAGAGCTTCAGTTACGAGTAAAAAAGAAATAGAGGTGGAGGGAAATAGCGACTGGCGCAGATCAGGTAACCATGACTGTAAACAAACAACAGTGATATCGGACTAATCGGGCGGGGTAGTGGAGAACAGGGAATCTGCTATTCGAGTAGTTGGATGTGGATGCACGCAGACGGGAGAAGCGATATATAGCACAAAGATAATTGGACATTAGTGTACTTTATACGGACAGAGAAAACACGCGAGATGATACACAAAAATAACATCCGGGATGAATGCAAGCCAACTGACCAACCTACAACCCGACTGGAAGATGGCAAAGATAAGAGATGAAGGGATATATCCTGAGTAGAAACTCCTTCCTGCGCTTCTCCTCCGACAACACGAACGACGACAAATGACAACGACGAAGAAGACGACAGCAGCAGCACAGTGGAGACCGTAGAACAATGACACCCACATTAGTGTGAGGACAAAGGCAGAAGTGATTTGATTACAAGAGATAGAGGTCGTCACCACTGGGTGCGGGATTTACAAAGCCTCAAGCAGAGGCATCGCTCATTGCGCCGTTAGGAGGTAGCAGAAAGCAACAACAAATCGAGGGAGATACAAGGAGGAGAAGAGTAGAAGCCAAGTGCTTCAATTGTGGAAATGTGGGTGGGTGGGGAGGATCACAGACAGTACCCTGGAAGGGGACTAAGAGTGGTGGCGTGGCCTCATATCTTGCATGCACACGTTGAAGTGTACAAGGAAGTACTTTTACGGAAAGTTAGCTCATGGCGCATTTAAATCATTGTCGTACGCTTGCTGGCCAACAATTCTTCCCGATAGTTACGAATGAGTTCGTCACGTTCCTACAAGATTGAAAAAGTACATACTGTCTTGCTACTAAAACTTTCAAGTACCAAGCATAATTGAAACCCAAAATGTTTTTAAGCGAGAATAAAAAGCAAGATAACGTGCTTAAGGAAATAAAATGGAAACCTGTTCAAAGGTAAGAGGCAAGATCCATAAATCGTGAACCGGAATGAGCAAGAGAAGACTTCTAACCTCCAATTTTAAAGCGATGACGCAGCCAAAGGTGTAACAATAAAGAGTGGAACACGGAGATATAATCTCCCATTAATAATAAATTGAACTAAATAGCAAACAAGACACAGGAAAGATTAAGAGAATGGATAACGAACTCGATTGACGCCAGCAATGACGCCCTGCTCCTCTTCTTCGTGGCGACGAAGGAGGTCCTGCGCCTGACGATCGTTGCGCTGAGCCTGCGCTTTCCGTTGGTCGATAAAGCGTTTGGTGTTATAATCCTTTAGCTCTCGAATTCGACGGTCACGCTCTGCCTTATTCTTCAGCTTAGGATCGTTCATAACGTTACGGTTGGAGTCGAGGGAGATCTTGATTTGTTGCGCTTTCATGTCCTTGTTTTCGCGCTCCTGAATCTGTTTTAACAAACGCCTCTGTTCTTCGTGAGCATCTCGAAGAATCTATGTCGGGCATGGAGCAGATATCATTTTTCAGCAAGCCTAGACAGCCGTATTCGAAATAAACACAGTAGATTGTTGATGGCGAACGGTGTTGCCATCCTCTCTGATTTTAATGTCTCAGTAATGAGCAGTTGATTAGACTTTACAATTTCTAGAGGTACAACGTTTTCAAGTGAGACAGATACAAGAATATCAAATAAAGAACCACAATTACGGTTAATGGACACCCAAGAGAACGACCTCATAGGAGCGTTCACAAAAATTAATCATGAGCGCTACTGAAAGCTCTTGAAGAAGCAGTATTTTTACATAGAAGAGTTTCTTCAGCAAAGACGAATGAACTATCGTTCTCAAGATACTCAGCATATCTGACCAGATTTCTGTTTACGATGATACAAACATACGAGGCTGATGAATTTCTTGTAGTTACGACAGTGAGACCACGTGCATGATTTGAAGCAGGATGTCTTGAGGAATTCATCTCAGAGTGAGTTGTAAGAAAGGCTGATACCTTCAAGAGGAAATCCTTTCGAGAATCTATGAAGGCGAGAATGAGGGTGTGAATTTCACTCATTTGAGCGCATTTCAGTTTGCTCCACTCGTCGGTTTGTTGGCGTACTAGATTGTTCATTTGTGCGATGTGGGCCTCCTTCAAGGGTGTTCCCACTCCATTCACTCTAGTGATCCAAGAAAACAGGTGAATATTTATGCAAATGAAGAACCAGTATTGATGAGAAAATATACCGTGTAAAATAACTAAAAAGATTGGATGTAAATAAGCAAACAGAGTTGGCATTTCAGGTCTCATTTTTTTCCCAAATGCAGCACCAAAAGCACATAGACTGACTCCTGCAGTCAACAAAACGGTTCCAGATTCAAATAAAATAAAACAAATGCTAAGATCATCCGAAAACAACCGTAGATAATTGGCTTGGTAGCTACTGACCACCCAGAAAACGACAGTGATCTTCAGAAATATGCACAACTGAGGTGGGGAAGGGAATTTATAAGTGGTGCGCATACACATAGAGGGAGGGGAAGCCAGGTGCTATCAACTTACAGCTTTGTGGGTAGCGAAGCCAACCGACACCGGTTTAAGCCTCGCAGCAGGTGGCTGGGAAAAAAGCATTAATACAACAATCAACAAGCTAGAGAATGCTTAAATTCAACAAACCTTATAGCTGCAAAACAAAAAAGAAAATACTTTTGAGGAGTGCCGCGCAGACTCGAGGTGGAGGAAGCGATGGCCTTTGCATGAGAGGCATTCAGCTTGTCAGTAAGCAGTGAGTGCGCTCGAAGCATTGAGGCCGCCTCCTTTTCGTGTCTTCGCTGAAGGCTCTCTAATTCCTTGGCTTGCTTCTTCACTAGTTTTCGGTAATTCTTATCACTTCGGAGCATTGCCAAGGATATTGGTGGAAATTTGGGATCTTCTGCATCAAAGCAATAAAAAAAATATTGACACAGTAAGAGGCGACTGTGTGGAGTAGAAATAAAGGCTAGGAACGCGGCGCAAACCTTTCTTCTCTTCCTTTTTATTGCTGTTCCCAGAGGGTCCAGGAGAGGGGACAACGGCGCAAGAGGCACCAGAACCGTGAGCAGTTGAAGCTGGAGTCCCGGTGCCAGAGGGAGTGATCAATCGATGCGGGTCGCCGGTGGAACCGAGGGAAGACAAACCCAGTGCCGAGGCAGGTCCAACGCCCGCACCACTATTTCCACTGCCTCCACCACTGCTGCTTGCGCCAATACAAACCGCACCACTCGTTGACGCCCCCGATGTCGTGCTGCTCAACGTGATGCCGCTGCCTATTGGACGCTGTTTCAGTATGGAGGTCAGTTTTGTTGAGGATGTGGGAACCTCGTCAATCTCGGAGGAATCGATGCCCATACTCGCAAGCTGAACAAAGTCAGTAAAGCGAACAATCAAGCTTCCGTTTAAAAGGTAGAGCACAGAAATGACGGCTATAAAAAAAGGTAAAAGAGCATTTCAGTCATTCATAATAAAATAAAACAGGGCGCGTGGCAACATCAGATGCTTGTGGTAAACTTGAGGTGTTTATTAACAACATCAGAAGGCTATTGCAGTGGGTGTTTTCCTCTATGGAAGAGGAAACGTTTAACAGCTTGCATTCGTAAAAAATGACATGAGAAGACACAGTAGGTTCATGACTGACCTGTTTCATACGTTGCTCCTCTTTGCTCAAAAAGGCTCGAGGATCGGAGAGAGCATCAACGAGATCGTTGAGGCCTTCGGGAACGTAGGTGGTCAGGGAGACACGGCAAAAAAGAGTAGGCAGGGACAAAGGGAAATTGCCCTCAGTTCGGAGGGAGATGTGCCGATAGCCTGACTGCAATCCATCGAGTGGCAATACACGCTGGCCAATCAACTTGCCCGTGTCCTCGTAAACGGCAAAGCGGAGTACCGCCAGATCCGGAAGCACCACCTGAAATGCCCGAGTGCATAGCGGCTGTTAAAGTAGAAGTACTCAAAATGAACTAAGTTGATAGTTTGTGAATTAGAACAGTGCCGATAATACAAACAGAAATTATAAGACAGGGTTCTCCCACCCTTTTCAAATATTCTTAAATAAAATGAATTCCATGTATATATAACTAAGTTCTTAACCCAATGAATGAGCAGTCCATCCTCATAAACATTGCAAAAGAAAACAAGGAAATAGGAACGGACGCCTTGGTAAACCAATAGCTCCAATGTAGGTTTTTCGTGGATACCTAAGAGCGGGTTGCCAATGTTCTGGGTATACTGAGCGTACCATCGCAGATGTCTTACAATAAATATGAAGGTAGCGGTTCATCTTATTTTAAATGCATTGCACTGTGAAAGCGCTAGTTGCATTTAATCAACCTGGAGATGCTGTACATCCCAAGAAAATTATGATAGAAAATTTATAGAGCTACGAATTCGAAAAACTATTTAGGTAAGCACTGAGTTCGTGATGGTTGCAAACAAGTACTTGTCTAAGAATCAAACAGACTGATCATCACAGCCCAATCACCAGATTCATAGGGAGCAAATTTCGACCATAGTTTAGGCTAGGCTGTCAAAATTTGGACTGGACAAGCGAATAGAGATCATAATGGACCGATGGCTAGCAACGCAAACAGAAGCATTCGGTAAATATCCTTAATTTTTATCTTTTTTCTACTGACCAACTCTGGCACTTCAGTTTACGGAGAGCTTCATTGGTGGTTTGGAAAATAGCTAGGAGTCCACTTAGGAAGATCATGTACTTAACTTTCTCTGAGATGATAAAAAAAGAATCTCAACCAACAGTCGGAAGCGGCAAAGGGCAAACGTCACAATCAATGCAAATTAGAAACTAGAGTTAACAACTAACATTGTGTGGAAACGGGAACTAACGCACTATAGTCAAGAGACGCTTGTTAATCAGCCAACAGTAGGAAACGGAAGGAGATACTGGGTGCACTACATAGCACAAGTAAAAATATCTATGGAATGGAAGCGAATGGGCAATCCCTCGATGAGGTGCCAAAAGAGATTGAGAAGGGGAAGCGAAGACATGGAGGAAAAACACACTTTTCTGAAGACAAAGACAGCATCCTCGCCGTAAACGGGGTTAAGGCCGTTGTTGGGCACCACACGGGTACGGAATTCCTTTCGAATAGTGTCCGTGGGCAGACCGTACATGTCCACCTCAACATAGGTGCCTACTTTACGATCAGAGAGGAACTGGCCCGAGATTATTCGCACCTCACAAGTCGCAGCGATCACACCGTCCATCGGGGACTCCGAAAAGGGATCAAACTGACGCTCCGGGCGCCTCATAAACTCCGGTTTCAATAGATACCTCAAATAACCAAGCCATACATTTGGAATAAGAGCAAACGATATGCGCATAATAGATGAAGAAAATGACTTAAAATAGATATTTAAGTAAACAGGGAAATTTCATCATAAAAAGTACTCATGCTCTAATAAAACGAAAGTGTAAAAGTTGAACACACAATGAAAAGGTTTGCTTTGAGCTAGGACCTCTCGCATTCGATACAGGACAGAACGATTTCATTTGTTAATCCGATTTAGTAGTTGTTAAAACATGAGGTGAAAAGTCAGCCTAATACTGAAATTCAACAACCATTCTATGAACAACTAGTTCTGATGCCTTCCAGGGATTACATTTGATAAACTCTGAATGTAGTAGTTCAGACAAAACTGTAGGCGTTTGAATACTATGACCAATTGATAGGTTGTAGAAAGGGAGTGTTGCCTAGTTTCATACGATCCGAAGCATGCAATTATTAATAGCAATACTTCCAAAAGTGAAGTAAGGTGGGATGGAACATAGATTTTATACTCACCCACAATTGCCATTGTATTCAAACTTTCCTTGGTTCAGTTGCATAGCAAGATCGGGCGTTTGAAAGTTAAGCGCAACCATTTGACATCCAGCGTTCCAAAAAATCTTGGGGATTCGCAAAAATTACCGCGACATTAACTGTTTTGTTTCACAGAAAGGCAGTGGTAACGAAAATGCTAAGTTCGAAAGGACCGACAATGCAACCAAAATGCAATTAAGTGCGCAAGGAGGCCATCGGATGGATTAAGTGATTAAAGGTGAGTTGCCGGGTTCAAAATCCATCCTAGCAGCCTTTTTAAGGCGTTCACGGTGGAAAATAAAGCTACAAGTCCATTTTAAAAGGTAGCTAAAAATTAAGGTTGGACACCAAAGGAAAGTAATACCCAACCAATCACTTGTCAAATTATAATTACAGGTTTCGAGAAAACTGTCTGTGATAATTCCACACGAGATCACACCAAGAAGGAACCCTCTGGGTAGATACTGTTGACAAGGCACGTACTTAATAACAACCTTTAAACTACTACTTTACCTGGGGCATGTAGTTGCTGGACTCAACACGGTTGCCACGTGGGTATATGCGGCTCATTTGACGCTTGTTGTAACTGTTTTGAATGGTGAAGGAATTAATAGAACAGAAGGTAAATGAAAATGGTGCATCAATACCAAAGAGAGATTTAATAGCGAATGCAAACATTAGTGAAAGTGATAATAAGTACATGAATTGCAAACACTAAATGCAGGCACAAAAAGTAAGCTGCGTGATATCATTAGTGTTAAGTAGAATATTACAGCATATTGTTATGTTAAAAAGGACCTAAAGGATGCATGCAGGCATGTTACGCAAACGAAGAATCGTATGACAAGTCTTTCATGCGGGGCAGAAATAAGGTAGAAGAAAACACACAAAAAGATACCAAACGAATTCCGTGCAACTCCGCTTGATGAGACCAAGAGCAGTGTTCTCATTGAAAGACGACATTTGGAAAGACAGTCGTTTTGCTCAAACAACATGTGCAAAGGAAAAGAGAAAAGAAAAACACATTAAGCATTATTTCAAGATGCCGAGGGAAAGGGCAAGCTCCACAGTCATTTTTACGCAGATCTTGAGAGAGGAAAGGATACTTTACGAATTCAATGGCCTCGTTTTTCATCAAACCCAAAGCCACTGTCTCGCTAAAGGAGGACATGTGATAGTGGATGCTCTCATCTACATATGCACAACACAATGATCCACGCATGGACATGCATTAATGCAAAACACAACACACAATTTGGCACGAGACCAGGCAAGCAACACAGAGGGTAAAAGGGAAAAGAAATCCACATTAAGCTTTTATCGATGAGACAAGGAGTTATTAAAAATGGAATTGATCTGCACTTAAAAAGAAAATGGAAGCAATCTGTGAAGTCAAAAGACCTATTGGGTATACGAATTGGCCGAAATGGCAAGCATTTCAGGGGCCATTAGACTTTTGATTAAAGAAAGAGGTACAAAATTAAGACTGACCTTCAGCGACGTCGAAGCCTTGAAACTTAACCGGTTGGGCATAGTTGACCATGGAGGAAAGAAGGGGATGAATAGTTTTCGTCGCACCTGTGTAGTGGTACTGGGCAAGCATGGCCTGCTCTTCTTCTGCAGTTAGACTACCCTGCAGCGGAAAGAAGTCGAAAGTTGATGCAGGGCAGACGCAAAAATGATGGACAAACATGCAAACCACAAATTTCAAACTACTAAAAATACGCAGTAAACAAATAGAGGGAACCACAATCAAGGCAGGTTAACATCAAAACCACGGAGTTGCACTCAAGTAGTGGATACAAAAAAGTAGCAGACGAATGTTGTGATGCCATTCAGATCACTTTCAAAGGCCCTATCAACATGCTTATACCAATGTGAGGTGTTAATCAAGACGTCTAGGATGAATGATGATGCCTACGACAAAGGCAAGGCGAAACGATCGAAAAAGAAACAAAACTTTTAATTATATTTCTTAAAAATCGAACTCATTGTTTCAGTTTAGAAGGCAGCTTATAGAAGACCCTCAAATAGGTCAGTAGAACGTCTTACAATACACCAATTAGCAGTAGAAAGGTTACAGCATTATCATTAAACTAGCATGCAGTTGTGCTTGTTATGTGCTTTTCGTGAGATAAATTAGTCTTAGAAGGCAAAACGGTTAAGCATTGTCCAGCGTTGCCAGAACTTGAAGTGCTTTGAAAAAGATAATTCTATAGGAGTGGAACTAGGAAGAACTAGTCCTATACGTGAGCTTCACCTTAAAACTTTGAATGATGAAATGACAACTATCATGAAAGTGACGTGAGTTAGGCAAAAAAACATCGTGAGAGACTGCATAATGAATGAGTACGAACCTCTTCCTGTTGATTCGAAGGAAGCGCCAGACAAAAACCCCGCGGCGAATATTGGAATAAGTAGGCAATGTTAGGCGTACGTTAGTAAATTCAGTTAAGCGTTACAGGTTCATCAACTTGTTGGTATACAAAAGCACTACTCAGCATAAAAAACCAACAGAGCAAAGGTACAACATAAAAACCCAAGTATTAAAAAAACGAAATCTTATGAGCTTTACTTTAAGTGTACAAATAACTACAAGAGTTTCAAGTGGAACAAGAGCTAATAAGGTGAGGAGATGTAAGGCCGAAGGATACCTTTTTAGTCACCAATCGCTTCATCTCAGTTTCGGAAAGCTTGCCCAGTAGAGATGAAGAAAAAACACCGCTAGCGGAGAGTGCGTTAATTTGGCCCGAGCCGGGCCGCAGTTTGGTTTCTGGATGAGGATCTATATCACCTAGGCAGAAGTCAAAACAAAGAAATCAAAACCATTAAAAGCTTTCCCGCTAAACAGGGGCTTGGTCGAAACCAACTCTGATTATTCCAAAAAATAAGCTTAGATTGACTATGAAAGACCTATTTGAGATTAAACCGTATATATAGAAAAGTGAACGAAACAGCATCTACATTTCTGAAGCGTAGGAATTAATGCGTGGTTTTCAACCAGTAATACCCAGACCTATAATGGTATAACGAAAATGCGGTAAGAAGGCCAGAAGGTGCAAAATGGCGAGAAAATGACACGTACCGTTCACGGGGCTGACGTCACAATCAGCGGAGCCAAGGGGATCAGGATCCTCCGCCACGTCATCTTCTTCTTGCACAGGATCGGCTTGGCCTTTCATGAACAATTCCAGTTGGTCTAAAGGTCAACAGATTACCGGAAACATTGACGACTAGAACAATGAAGGTCATTTACACCGCATGAGAACTAGAACAACTGTCCTGAATAGGCGTTTCATAACGTTAGCGACGTACATACAAAGCATTAATCTGTACTTGCGAAAAGATTAGTGATTTAGAAACAATAAACTTAGTGATAAATAATAAATCTGGGTTTCATAACAGAAGAAGCGCACGAAAGGAGTGTAGCATTAGTAATTATTCAGTTAAAGCTATTAATGTGTTTTATGATTAGTTACAATGATTCTAGGAAACTGAGTCAAATGCAGAGATAATGACACAACCTTTATAGCAGTTAATGCGAAGAAATCGGGAAACCTACGCTTTTCAACATCGGGATCCAGGCGCTTATTTTTAATAAGAATTTTTCTTTTGAGTTTCTCAGGAGATGGAAGAGGAACGCCGGGTTCAAGCTTCAAGACGAACAAGAATAGTTTAAACTCCCAATTAGGAATGAAGAGAAGAAAAGATAGAAACTGGCGAAACGTACAAAAACCGGCAGTTCCAAACAACACAAGTTCAGAAGTAGCAGAATTAGGTTCAAAAGATATTCATTTTCGCAATAATATGAGGCACGAGAACACATATATGCTTACCTTTTGATAACAAGTATGTAACCAATCAGATAGGTCAAATGCTTAACTATGCACACCGTGGTTCGGTAAAATTTGCATGTAGCAACAATGACAGCTCAACCTCTGAATAGGATTACGACTTATTCACTTAACCGACGGACAAGAGGCCAAGGAAGCCATGATTGAGATGATGAATGTGAGAGACAGAAGAGTGATAAAGCAAAAACGTACAGGATATTTGTCAAGCGGCTTTGTCAGAAGCATGTCGCCCAGGATGTCTTCACAGTACTTCGCCAACTTATACTGCTGGTGTTTACTGGAAAATAACAAAAAAGCTCAGATATACCACAAGTAGATCATCTGAAACCAAATTTCAAGCATAGAAAAACTATAATAACTGGAGTGCCTATAGATGCTAAAATAGCTGTTTCAGCTTGGCTGAAGTACCAATCATTTGCGATTAGATATGGGAATAACAGATAAGTTAAAACAATTTGACATAACCACATAATTAATGGACACAACATTAATGGATCTGAGTAGTTGCATGTTATTAGGTATTCACAAGGAGCCATGATTTTACTAAAGCTATGCTTTGGGACGAAAGAAAGACAGGATCGACCCCTCGCTCCCTCTATATGGTGAATAAAGTGGAGTTATTATGACCCAACAGTCTTTAAATGATATGAGATTAAAATGTCAAATGAAGTAGAATGCAGCATTGCACAATCACTGCCAGGCCGTAAAAGACAGACACAAAACACAGGCGACCTTAAAACCGAAACATTTGTGACCGCAATGTTTGCTCGGGACTGAAAATATAGCTGTAATCAGATGCGTAGGCGAGGGCAGAAATTTTGTTAACGCACCTGCAATGGTTTTCGAAAGACATAATAAGGGGATACTCTGAAGTCACAAAGGCAGTGTCACGAACGGCATATATCACATCCTAAAAGTAGAAGATAAAGAAAGATTCAGTTGACAGTGGTTCCATTGAACTTGTATAAAAGTAGGAAAATATGGATCATTGCAACACAAGGAACAAGTGGATGAATACTTGGTTACTCTCAAATAATGATACAAATTACATAGGATGGAAAATATATGTGATGTCTCATAATGAGACATATCTTGCTGGAAACGAACTATTAACTCTAGAGCTGATGAACCAAGCGTTCCCTTACATAACAGTAAATACAATGAATTCGTTCTACAT